CAGCAATGGCCAGAGAGGGATTTGTCGGGCCATTGCTTCAGGAATATCTTATTGCTTAAGTATGACAAGACTTCACTGTAATGCTAATGGGAGACATATCACTACCTTATTACAAACTGCACTATCACTATATATGGTCATGTCCCAGTGTAATTTATAATTATATAAACAGTCACATTAGAAATAGAATGAGGTTTAATATTTGACTATTCTGCATCAACCGGGCTTATAAAGTGTGCTGTGAGGGACATTTTGATGGGACAGTGGCACTAGGGATAATATGTTTTACTGTTTTCAAAGGTGATATTTCACATGCTGCAAATAGTTTACATGGGCCTTTTCTTTTCCTTGCTAGCCAGCCCTCCTCACACCACTCACAAGTTGAAACCTGGCTGATAAATCATGAGATATTTACTGGCTTATGTCCAGGATCAAGCCCTGGACGTCCTGGTTAGGGAGCCACCATGGTTCCCAGTCCCAATAGATAGTGCTAGGAAACTGCACATCATACCACATAGAGAGCAAACGATACCTCAACCCAATCTAATAATCACAATTGGATACATAGATTAAATGGTGGGGTGGGGAGGAAATGGGCAGACTGCAGAAGGCAGAGGCAAGGCTGGCTTCTTTTCATTACAAATATAATTAATTACATTTACCATTACATTTCTAATGCAGTCATTACTATTACTATTTTCTAGATGAAAAAATGAAACATCCTGTAATTAAAATTCAGTAAACCAGCTCGGCAGTAGGGTCTATGACCCATTGGTTTGCAAATGACCCAATGAGCTGTAAGACCATTGACAGTGGACAAGCTAGGACAGTGTATCTGGAGTGACTTGAATTTGTATCAATGTGTCTGTCTGTTCCCAGTAGAAATAGAAATGTTATGATAACCTAAATATTATAGAAAAAAAAACATAGTATTGAAAACCGCAATATCCTTTTGACAGTCGAGACCCTTACAAATTGTTGGTCAATTGAGGAAAATCTCCGACTCTGTTTCTTATAGTATTAGTGAACAATAATCAGATCTTATTTCAATGGCTGTTCATTTAAATGTGTTTCATAAAGTTTAAATTACCTAGAGACCTAGTCGTACCGGACTATAGATAGCATCATAAACATCTTTTCAATAAGATTTCTTTACGTTTCTATATCTTTGTAGTTAAGATGACAGATCGCATTATTATCTGATATTTTTTTAATCTTTTGTGTGTCTGTGTTGTATATTATATGACATAGAAACCTATTGACATACATATTACAGTTATTCATATATTTAGGACCTATGGAATTATGTTTAAAATAAACGAAACACTGAATTCATAATCCTTCATATAGATATGAAATCTGGTTTATATTTTCTTCATAATGTACTGCATGGCATATGTCCGTCTTTATTTCATTTCATATTGGCTGTGCACATAATCAGAGTACTTGATGGATGACATTTTTGAAGACGTCCTCAGCATAGTGAACAATGTATAATGTTGAAATTTAGTCATCCGTTCATCTGTACATGGGGCTGTGGTAGTTGAGTGGTAAAGGCACTGGACCCACAAATAACCCATGTTTCGAATGCATGCTTGTTCCGAGTAGAACCTCGGGATTATTCTACCCCAGTTCCCACTTGTCAGGTGTAGTGCCTCCGAGTTGATAAGTATATGTTGCCATGTCAGGGGTAGTGCCTCCGCTCTGATAAGTATATGTTACCATGTCAGGGGTAGTGCCTCCGCTCTGATAAGTATATGTTACCATGTCAGGGGTAGTGCCTCCGCTCTGATAAGTATATGTTACCATGTCAGGGGTAGTGCCTCCGCTCTGATAAGTATATGTTACCATGTCAGGGGTAGTGCCTCCGCTCTGATAAGTATATGTTACCATGTCAGGGGTAGTACCTCCAATCTGATAAGTATATATCGCCAGGTCATTTGGAAAACCAAAATCCAACCATGTACGCATTGCCTATATATATATAAAAGAACCCTTGACAGTTGGAATTCAATGAAGACTAGGCAGAAATGCCACTGTCTGGGTAAAATTCACCTCCCTTTTTTTGCACACGAGACAATAGAAAAACATTAACTATATGTTAGTCTCAAAATGACAGACCTTTGTCCATCTTCATTAGCCCAGTTGGTGCAGAAAAGTAAGATGGTTTTAAACCCCATTTCATTTTCATTTCATCAAAGGAATGTTGAATACACAAGAGTAAATGATACCCGAGTTATGGTGTCATTAGCTCAGTTTGTGCATAAAAGTAGGATGTTAAACCCCATTTCATTTTCATTTCATCAAAGGAATGTCGAATGATACTGGGGTTACAGTGTCATTAGCTCAGTATGTGCATAAAAGTAGGATGTTAAACCCAATTTCATTTTCATTTCATTAAAGAAATGTTGATAAGTGTAACTTGTTCTAACAACATTGTGTAACTGGACAATAGGTTATATGATATTTTAATTATATCTCACATAGACCCCCTGATTTTATTTTATTACATAAAATTGAAAGTAGAATCCAAGTAAATATTTATTCTGAGATTAGAGTTCTCCTAGCTCTATGAATAATTTGACTGGTAGACAATAACCACACAGAAACTGTTATCATAACTCGTCTTAAAACATGCCTGATTACCATCACAAAGTTACCAAAATTATTTGAAGTTAGGTTTGGGTTATGTGTGAATTTTCTCAAGTTTCATTTATCATAACATTTTGCATTTGAAATTCAAGTTCGCTTTCTTAAAGCTGTGTTCAAAAGGGTAGACCCTTTGTATGTCTGAATCTGAACTTTTTGTTTACATTGATATTGACATCCACATCTATCATGCACAGACATGTAAATTTCGCTCCCTGATTTGGGTAGTTTTATATAACAATACCCCCGTACTCGACCTAAAGATTCTCACCATATTCATAAGACAGTGTCAGTTGACAATGGGTTTTTCAGATCATTTGCATTATAATATAGCCGTTGTAACATCATATTATTGTACAACAAGTTTAAATGGTTCAACTTAGATTGAGTGATATGCACCCACTCAAACTTTAAATGATATATTTGCTACCATTGCATGATATCTAATATACAACCCATTTAGATTACATTATGTCTTACAAACAATACAGTTAACATGGTGCATAAAACTTAACCTGTGATCTCAAATTTGTTTAAAAATAAAAAAACCCATAAATATCCAACTGTTAGATTTTCTGTCTTAATATTACTTGTGTATGTACTGTTGCCTATCTGAATTGAAATTAAAGGAGCTATTTAAAATCGACCTGTCCCATGCACTGTTCTATGAGAGTAGGTTACTTTTTCCCGAACAGTAGCGATTCCACCTACGCTTCATTCAATTCCAACTGGACCTCAGGTTTTCATTCTATCCGAATGACTGGACACTCAATCCTGCACAGCTGACAAAGCTGTAATATCCTGAGGAACTTTCTCGGTATGAATACGCTCAATCACAAAATGTCCTTCAAGGATTATACAAGTCTTCTGGTCAAGACACAATATGAATTCTAAATTTACTAAAATTATCTCACTGTTAACTTCAGAGGAAAGTTTGAACATTAAAGAGAGAAAGAAATGGGGTTTAACATCCACTTGACACAAACTAGGTCATTTCGGGACTAACATGGTTCAATTTTATTTCAATAATTCGCTTGCGCATAGGCATCTTTAGCAGTGGTAGGAAAACAGAGGACCCGGAGAAAACCCACGAGGTTGGACAGGCGACCAAGATGGGAATCAACCATACCAGTTGACTCAATGACAGAACTTATGATTCAACGTGCACGCGCTAACCATTCGGCCATCCCCCCTCCCCCTCCCCACCTGAACACTAAAGAACTTGTTATTTAGAATAATTCTGTTGGAAGATGTTTCAGTAATAGATCAGATTAGTAATAAATGAGAAAGGTAATTTTTCTAAATGTATGATAATTTCCTACATTATGAAAGTAAATATTTCATATGTATTAATTATATTAGTAATATAGATTTAATAAGGCAATGTTGTATTATTATGGATTCAACATAAAAGTGATATTCCATTACCCTGAAGACTAAAGGGGGATAACTCTATCAGTTTAAAAATGATCTGTAACCTCATTGACACTACGCAAAAACACACACTTCTGGAAAAAACAGCTGCTTATTTAATTGACTGTATTTTAATTAACAACATCACAGTAACCATAATATAGACAGTCAGTTGATGTTATTCTTCTTGACAAAATAACAATAGAATGATATAAATACTCTAAACAACTGTACAATAAAAACACAAGAAAACACTGAGTATCAAAGCTAAAATAAAAAGTCATAGCTTTTAGACGCATGAACACACCACAGAAGAACAATACAATTCAATCTTTGGATAAAAACCACATTGCAGTGTTTGTCATATTCACTGAATTAAAGGACAGACAATACCATACATAATTATCTTTGACTTTTTTCCCCTCCCATCTTTCAGAGAAAACAGAGTATTATTAAATTGAACCTACCCATCAGTAACTCTTCTTTTAATTAAGGTAGAACATTCAGTTTTACTAAAGATGTTCATGAGGCGAATACCTTGACTGAGTTCTATGACAAGCATGCATTTTCTGCTTAGGCTAAGCATAGATAAGAAATTTGATTTGTTCCTGCTTTGGAAAATGATACCTCTGATTCTAATGGAGTGAAAGTGTTGAAACATGGCGTATGGTTTCATTACATCATTTACCTTGACTAAGTTCAATAAACAGCATTTTCTGGTTAAGTATACATAATATAGTGTTATAAGTTAAGCAGAGTTGTGAGCAATTTGATTGCTTGCGATGCTCTGTTAAAAGATAAATGGGCAAGTAATTAATGAGTGTCATCTATTTATTTTTGGATTGAGGTGTGGGACGTCAACTTCACTGTTGTCTGGTTTGGTTTATAACTTTGCTTTTCCTTTATTTTGATTAATGTTTTTTATTTTGTTTTTACAGATCTGTCATCATCCACAATGTGTTGAATTAAATAAAGATCAGCCATTATTATTATGTCGAACATGTGATACAGATATACATTCGAAACCAGATTTTAGTGGTCATTTAGTTTTAGATGCTCCTAGAAAAAGTAAGTTTTCTCATTTTTATTTATTATGCACTCATTTTTTGATGATGAGGTATCTCACAGTGACACCATACTGGCATAAGGTCATAAATGTTGATTAATCTCAACAGGTCATGCAACTAACTGGCTCCTCTCGCAAGTTTCCTAGAAAACATTTTTGTCTGCGATATCACCATAGCTGGAAGTGGACCTTAACTCTACCATACAACTAGAAGACATCAAAATAAAATTGTTGTTTCGTTAGTGAGATGACAGCTTGTCTTTGTTAAAATTTTATTCGTAGATAAAGCTTGTGTTAGGAGCTATAATTCTGTACTTATTAAAGATGAGAAAACTCTTGTTGAAGTGTTGGCAGCAATAAACATCCAAGATACCTGTATTCTATATAATTACGTCTTGTCTAAAAAATTAATTATATTGCCTTTAAATTGTTCCATCACAAATCGAAGTTACTAACTCATAAGAGTAACACAATTTAATACTTTATCTTGAAACTATATCAAAATAGCTTATCTTTAATGCAACTTTTGGATATGAAAGATACTGAATTTATTTTGGCTTAGAACTTTAATTCTTATAATATTCATTGAACATGACTTTCTTTTTCATGTTTCATCTGATTGAATTTTTAATGTTTTCATATTTAAAAATGTTTATTTAAGATTATGAAGAGGGTATGAAATTATTTTGTTCAAACCTTTGCAATAAAAGTACATCCAATTTGCTAACAATTTTCACCACATGCAAAAACCAGAAAACCAACCGAGCCCACTTGCCATAAACCCCTGTTGAAAATTTGAATATCATTATCATTATGTCTTGCCTTATGGGGGGGGGGTTGGATGGCCGGGTTAGCATGTGCGCACTGTATCATACGGTCTGTCGTTGAAACAACTGGCAGGGTTTTGATTCCCTGGTTGTACGTGACAAGGTGTATGGTCGCCTGTCCAACCTCGTGTGTTTTCTCCGGGTCCTCCGGTTTCCTCCCACTGCTAAAGACCCATACGCGCAAGCGAATTATTGAAATAAATTTGAACCATGTGTTAGTCCCAAAATTACCTAGTTTTTGTCAAGTGGATGTTAAACACCATTTCTCTCTCTCCCTTGCCTTATGCTTTCTCCAAAAAAATGCAATTTAATGACAAACGACTTTTTTTTTTTAAGATATGGTGAATCATATTACAAATTTTAGTTTGTAGTTTCAGATTCTTTGAGGAAAGGAAGTCATTCCTTGTTCAACTTCTTCCTTAAAGCCATCAATTTTTAAGTAAATAATGAATGAATAAAAGTTTATAATAGCTTGTTTTAACCCTTGAGCACCTTGAACATGTAAATATAGTCTGACCCAGTATCATGAGAAAATTAGAGAAACATACTTTTTTTTACCTTGAGTTTTGTAGCTCTTGAATAAAATCACCAGAAACAACTGCTCCCTAGAATGCTTGAGTCACAAAACTGGTATGAGGTCCTTAAATAGTTCACAGCTATTTACATGACTCTGGCCATGTAGGCACTTAGAGGGAACAGTATTTTCAAGCAGTCCAAGTGCTAAAGGGTAGCTATTCAGTTAAACTGTTTGCGGGAATTTTTTTTTTTTCAAATGACTAGACCGTAACAAATCAAAATCACATTTAATTTATATTCACTACAAATTTAGAACAACAGAAATTGATTTAATTTAGATATTTTGTGACAAGAAAATTGACTGACAGAAGATGTCTTAACTGGATACTTTTTTTGGCTTACAAAATTGACACAAGAACCCTGATCTAGCCTTTTAACCTATTTTTATTTTTGTAGGAAAACCATTTAGTCCACCTATACGACGTACTCCAGATATTACCACCACCAATAATAGCAATAGTAATAGTGACGGTGAAGAGTCCGAAGAAGAGGGTGATACTGTTGATGGTGGTGATACTGTAGATGGATTGTTTGTTAAAGAAAAGAGAAGGTACGAAAATTAGGTTAAAGTTACAATTTCATATTTTCTAAGAAAGTCAAAACATAATTATTTCTATGTCTTTTGCTCAATAGGTTGTCAACTCACTATTATACGATCATAGGTTATCTTTCTCACACTTTAAAATCTTCACACCGGAAATAATAACACAATTACCTCCCTTGTTTTCCTATTCCCCACCATAGAATAGCTATCTTCAAATGTTTGAATTTGAAGTTGAAAATGATATTTTTGCCAATTTCTCAACTGGCAATAGTGAATTATAGGATTAATAGGATTATTCTTTAACAAGGTAGGACTGTTTATAGATACCATCTATTTTAGGGCTTTATTTTATTACATTTTAAAAATATAACTTAAAAATATGAAATTGTAACTTTAAAGTCACTGATTTTCATTTGAAGGATAAACAATGTTCTTTAAAAAGATGAGTGGCTCAATGGCTCGTTGGGCCTCTTTTTATTCCAAATGAATCCAAGCTTGGAGATTTTGTTTTCTTAATTAAATGTTAAGTAATAAATTTGAGTACATTTTAGCTCTGAAATTAATCTTTTTAAATTAGATATTCTCAGACAAAATAATGGTCAGGGACTTTAGTCTGTGAATAAAATCCCTTAACAAATTTTTTTTATGTATGACAACAGACTTATTTCTTTTTAGTAATTAGATTTCACAATGACTTCATGTGATGCAATATTCCCCCCATTTGAATGTCTCCTGTTTGAAATAGATATATCTTTGAATTAAAGAGACTTTATGTCTAACGTCTTTGTTTAATTTGAATTTAACCTGGCTGTATATTCAATTTCTAATAGATTTTTGAATGTGTACTTTAAAGGGTTCAGTGGTTGCCAAGATAAATGCCTTTTTGTACTTTGACACATCACATGCATGAGTTTGAAGTTGTAAAAAAAACAAATTATTGATTTTTACTATTGTGCTTATTTGTTAATTAATAACTGAGGTAAAAGTATATTGATATATATTATTACCTCAATGAGATTTAGTATTATGTCTATTTAATACTTAATAAATTATATAAAAGTATCTTGCTCTGCATTATTACCTTGATTGACACTAGTACAAAAAAACTACCTGATCGCGCTTTATATTATGTTTATGGTGAATTACAGGTATCTTGCTCTGCATTATTACCTTAATTAACACTAGTACAAAAAAACTACCTGATCGCGCTTTATATTATGTTTATGGTGAATTACAGGTCAAAGTCTCCGAGTGAAATACAGAAGAAATTATTGAAGAGAAAACGAGCATTGAAGAAAAGACTTCTCTCATCATCTAAAGTAGTAAGTAGTCTCCCTTTAAATGCTCAGATTCTCTCAACACAGTGAAAGGAGGACATTTAACTCAAATTTAAAAATACTTAACAAAATGTCATATTTAGCTCTCATTTACTGGCCAATGTAGGATAACTGCACAACCAAAACACAAACACGACAAACAATACAAAACACAGCATAGACAGAACATGTGAAAGCAGTTGTTCTAAAGATTTTTCTGTAAAAAATTTCATTGACTCTCAAATTAACATTAAGCTTCATATAAATGTCTACTTAGAAAATGCATTTGAGCTTTATTTCCATTGTGTAGTTATTAAATTACCAGCATGTTTAGAAAATAAAATATATTTAATTCAACAGAAAAAAAGATTTACGGATGTCGTATAAACATTCGGTTTATTATATTGTACTTGATTCAGAAAAATTTCAAAAGTTAAAGATTGATTGTATGTTTGACGTAATTGCACAACCCTCTTAAATCCAAAATCTTATACGAGAGTCAAAAGGGCAAACTTTAGCCCAGCTTTCTGGAGGGAAAATTTTGGGTAAGTAATATTGTATAAGAAAAGTAGAATTTGACTATTAAATTGACTTATTGGTGTCACTTAAATCAGTCAATTGATTAATGAGACATTCAATCAAAGTAAATGATAACTTTTACATATTACTAAGAGAGTCCGGGCGAGTTAACTTTTCAAACTGGTTCTTGATTTAATAATCCATCTCTTATACCCTTAATTTACCATAAATGGTACATCCATTTGTAACTTAATGTTTCATATGGGTGAATCTAATATTTGATAAAAGGGGGTGACTGGAGTGTAACACCTGTATTTTGTCAAAACATGTATATATCTTTAGGTGCATGTCAATATCTATCATATATAGACTTCATATACCTTGCTTGTCGTAAGATATATCATATATACCTGTGTCTATTGTATTAATCCTAAGGATTTATAATGGGTTAATATGATAATTTCATGGATTTATTAGATATGTATAGTATAATTACATAGTGTTTGTGTGAAAAGACAATCTAATGTTATGTTATTAAGAGTTTGGGAATATTTATCACTGTCATAAGACTTCATGTGATAGTAAGAATATATCATATATTTTTAATTTAGTTAGGTAGAAATCCACAGAGTTTTCATGTGAGTTGAATATGTGGTTATAATTGTTAAAGTTTAATAGGTGGAAGTTCTATTTTAAAACTTAAAGGTTTGTTTAATAAGAAGTTATGTTTATGAAAAGTTCTGTGAGTTTTATTCATACTAAGATAGTTTCAAATTTAGGGTTGTACAAGTTGATTAAGAAAATTTAACTTTTAAAAAGAACTGTTTATGAAAAGGTATGATTTTAAAAGTTGTTTTGTTTTTTTAAAATCCAAATGTTTTTTTAAAATTCAAATGTTTTTCTTTTTCATAAAGTTTTAATTACTTTAAAGGGACTATCCCGATATCAAGAGAGTCTCAAAAATAAAAGTCGGAGTACGTATGAAATTTAAGCGCCAACATATAGAGGAATGGGGTATTTACCTTCTCTCAAAATTCCAGCTCAAAATATTGAGTCGTTTTGACGTGAATGTCAAAATTGCTTATCCGGACACGTAACTCTTTTAAGATTTCGAGTCAGTTTTTTCGTTGGGTGACCTGATAATCGATTCCCGTTCCTTGAGAGGTCTATGTAGTGAATGACCCATGTGCTGTACTTGATAACGAAAGGTAAATTTCAACTACACGTTATTTTTATAAAATAAAAGTATGGTTTTATCCAGACACTGCATAATACAGCTTGGGACACCGGTCTCCATTTCCAGACGGGTTTAAGTGGTTTGAAAACTTATCAAAAATATTGAGTTAGTTGCCGGCCCTCAGCTAGAGGATTTTAAGGGATTTTAACACAAAATTAAGCAGTTTTATTCTCAAAAAAATATAGGGATTAGCCCTTTAAGAATTTTGACTTCAACAAGTTGTGTTCACAAATGGATGTGTTGAAATTTTGTATGTTTAAAATTGATATTGTAATTTTAGATTTTTAAATTCCATTTACCGGTAATCATTTCCTAGAAGACTTAAACAACTTCATTTATCATCTAAATAATGACACCCATTTAATTAAATGTATGTACCTTTGAACTGATATCATATGATAATTTTGATAGGTATCAATATTATCATTCATTTCTAAGAAAAAGTTATAAGGATATAAAACATAATATAAGTCTTGAGTAAAGTTATAATAATATAAAACATATAAGTCTTGAGTAAAGTTATAAGGATATAAAACATAAGTCTTGAGTAAAGTTATAAGGATATAAAACATAGAAGTCTTGAGTAAAGTTATAAGGATATAAAATATAATGTAAGTCTTGAGTAAAGTTATAAGGATATAAAACATAGTATAAGTCTTGAGTAAAGTTATAAGGATATAAAACATATGAGTCTTGAGTAAAGTTATAAGGATATAAAACATATAAGTCTTGAAATGAAATGAAATGAAATGGGGTTTAACGTCCTACTGTTCTGCTCCTAAACTGGGCTAATGAAGATGGGCATACGCCATACAGTGTGCTATGAGGGAAATTTTGGCCGTACAGCGGCACTATGGCCTACTCTTATATATCGAATTCCAACTGCCAAGGGATCTTTTACGTACACGCCAATGTGTACACAGGACCTCGGTTTTTCGTCTCATCCGAACGACTAGACAGCTGTCCTTGTCAGGCCCTCCGTCCTGCATATTTCTGCTGAATTAACATTTGTTTAATGTTAATGTAGAAACTGATATCTGGTCACATGTTTTATCATATGATAATATATTACACTTTTATCAGGTGAACAGTGTTATATTTCATGGTGATGTTTAATATAAGTAGTAAATTATGAAACCTGTTAAACCCGTACAAGTTATTGTATGGCACTGTATATTTGAACCAATTTAAAAGAAATAGAAAATCATTATTTAATGAAGAATTGGGTTGGACTGTTGTGGTGAAGATCTACATATCTAATCCAATATTGTTGGGATTCTTTCCTCAAATCTACAAAAGTTTGAAAAAAAAAAAAATGTAGAGCAGATCAATTGTCTAGTACAGACATTTGCACAGTTCTCAGTACAGCACATTTGACCCGTTAACAATACAAAGAATATTAACCGTACCATTCTCGGCACGGTTCCTGGCACGTGTAAAATTTGTAATGTAAACAGAGTTATACCTCCCGACTGATACTGAGTTGTTTTGGGGCCATGGTTAATAATGTTACGTTTACGGACCATGGATACACCAAGATAATGAGGATTTTCAGAAAGTATAATTAAGATAACATATTAAGTAACTTATATAATAATATATTGATCTGGTTCTGTATTCATGGAATATAGAAACCACTCCTATATTAATTATAACTAACTATATGTATAAAGATAGACATACAATCTGTATGAAGTATATGAGTACACTATTGATTCAATCAGGATAAAACAGTCATATGTATTCAGGTAGAAATAACTTTAATATTTATTGATGATAAATTCATGATGTATACTTATTTCCTTCTTGCTTGTAATTGTTCTTCTTGTTCTGGAAGCCAGTGAGTATACAGCTGGTTTGCTAGTAAAAGTGTTGGTGGAGAAAGTTCTCCTGAATTTGTCAGCGTGGATTGCCATTGTCAGTTGTGCAGGACAGCGAGTCTGACAAGGAATAGTCTAGTTATTGGGATGGGATGATCATAGGCGTACGAGCTGGAGGGGCTGGTGGGGCGGCTGCCCCCCCATTTTGGGCACCAAATGCTGCGAAAATTTGGGCACACAATTGTACTTTGTAAAAGTTGTATAAAATAATATTGCGTTCTTGAATGTGTCCAATTTAACAGCGAATTTATTATTATTATGTAACATACTAAGAACCTAACTACATTTTTGGGGCACTAACCACCACCGCCCCCCCAGTCAAAAATTTCCTTGTACGCCTATGGGGATGATAAACAAATGTCCCATGTACACGTTGCCATGCATGTAAAAGAACCCACAGGACACCGCATAGCATATACCTATCTGTCTTCATTTGCCCATTTGGTGCAGAAAAGTGTAGAGCATCAAACATATATTTTAATATATAAAACATAAGAACAAGTTTAATTACTAGTATAGTAAGTTAACAAAGCGTTATTATTTCCGTGAATTTGTCATTAAAACTGAATGATTGTGTTTATATTAGTAATAACCTCGGGCTTTTTGTAAATTCTAAACAATGTTTACAATTTCCTGACATTAGTATTTCTAGTAATTAAACAAATTAAAAAAAAAACACAAAAAACAACCGCTCTTTTTCTTCAAAAATAAATAACGATCATTTTTCAAATACAACCCCACTTTTTCTTCAAGAATAAATAGCAATCATTTTTCAAATTGAGTTAACTACTGTGGCTCGTTAAATATGGTGCTGGCTCACTAACAGAATGGTTTATTCGATACCATACAATGTGATACCTGTCTTCATTAGCCCACTTAGTATAAAAAAGTATGACAAACATTTCATTTCTTCAGTGCTGTGTTCTACATATCTTATTGATTTTGAACTTTATCTGCTTGACTTAAATAATTCTGATAAGATAGTCTAAGAAATTTTTATGAAAATAAAAAAAAGTAACCTAACACATCGATAAATAAATCTTGATCCTTGTACTCAACACCTGTATATTATATACTTTGTCTTATTGTACCTCACCTAGAAAATATATACTTATTGATTATTTGATATATAGCTAATAAGTACAATGTACATCATGTCAATATGTCTGATTTATTCTATATCAGGCAATAAAAAATAGGTTGTATTTTGAAAACTGCCTGGGGTATAGTGATGAATATGGTAGAGTTTATTACCCTACAAGTTGTATTGTATGTTCTTATATCATATCAATTATCATAGATAGACCTATAAAATAGTGAATTCATCAAAGAGATCGCAGTAATAAAACTAGAAGTTTTCTCTTGATAGT